AACAACCACAATGGTTATGACATATAGTTTTACAACAGCAATTTAACATCATACAATTCAAATTATTACCTGTTCTCACCTAGCATAGAATCACCTTGAGATACACATTGGAAATCCCCATCCTTCCACATTACCCATTGCAGGCACTCAGGTCCTTGAGCAAAAGCAATCCCATGAATAACTTTGCCCAAGGCAAGAATAACCCAGACCATCTTGCTCAACACATTCCTTATGTGCACCATTAGCATTTTATCCCCTTCTATGGTATGCAGAGGGTTTGATTTGGCATGACCAGCTCCATTGGCAGATCCCTAAGTCTTAACTAACTGGGTGGTTTTTGCTAAATGTGTGTCCCAATGTTTCAGTGTTCCAGCATCCACTGTTCTCAATGTAGTCTTAAACAGTTCACTGTATTGTTCATTTTTTCCAGAGGCTGGTGCATGACAGGGAACGTGACAGACCCACTCAATACCGTGCTCACTGGCCCAAGCAGTAATTTGATTGTTTTGGAAATGAGTCCCATTGTCTAACTCAGTTCTTTCTGGAGTGCCATGTCACCAAAAGATCTGCTTTTCAAGACCAAGGTTGGTTGGTGGTGTGGAACATGGAATATGTTTCCAACCATCCAGTGATTGTTTCCACCATTTTAAACACATGGCATTTGCCATGGCGAGTCTGTGGAAGCATTATATAATCTACCTTGCAGGCTTCTCTGTGTTTATGTTTCAGTCATCATCCTTCATAAAAAAAGAGACATTTTATCCAATTGGCTTGCTTAATTACAGCACGTTTCACATTAGTGAATAACCTGTGCAATAGCATTCATAATTAAATCCACTCCTCAAACCTAAGACCATCTATTGTTTGCTTATCCTCCTTAATGGCCTCATGTGTTATGGGCCCTCTGAGGTATAAATAGTTCAGTAGGTTTAATTCATCAGAACTGCTCAATTGGCAGATCCCTGAGTCTTGACTAACCAGGCAGCTTTTGCCAAATGCGTGTCCCAACATCAGATATTCAAGTCAAAAATTTGATCACCTCTCTGTCCTAGACTTTTATAAAACTTCTTTTACCAGAAAAAAATATCCCCTGCTTAACAATCATGCCTTACTCAAGTCATTGCTTTTTGGCAGCATGTGAACAACTATTTTCAAGGGTGATATATGAGAACAGACATCTCTGACAAACACCTTGAAAACTCATTAAGAATTGCAACTACTGCCATCAAATAGACTGATGTTCAGTTTCACAAAAACAAAGTCAAGTAACCCACTTGTTTTATGTTTCTGTTACTCTCTTTATGTTTTATAAAAAAACAATAAAAATTAAAATAAGTTTTGTTTCTTATATACATTAACTATATTATATGTATTTTGAGCGCTGCTCTGAGAGAAATGCCTCCTGTTTTGTTGGCCTACTACCTCAGAGATAAATGTTGGTGATATGGCAGTAGAGGACGAGTCTTCCCACCAATATTCCATTAAATTTTGTTGCTGTATATGGCAGCAGAGGGACATAGTAGCAAGATGTAGTATAGCATGGACGTACATATGAAGCAAAGGAGTGGAATGTAATTCCTTTATGAGGAGAAGATAGTACCCATTACCATTCACTGCTGCTTGCTGTATATTTACATAGACCAAACAGTGGATGTCATCACAGCAAGGCAGTGGGTGGTGTGTTTTGACAGTGGGTCATCTCCAGAGAGTGATACAGATTTTTAAGAGCATGACACATATGCTCTTGTTCACCACTGGCAAAAATGCATAGCTAACAGCGATGACTGCACTGAAAAACACTGTTTTGTAGCTGAGAATTTTCTCTATCAAAGAGAGTTTTTCTGCTCTTCATATTTGTTGTAATTTCCATGGAAATAAATATGAGGCATTACTGTCAGAGTGATCTATACACATGCACCTCAAGACAACTCCTCTCTATTCAAGGTGGGCCAGATAGGCCAAAAGCTGGACACCCATGCTTTAGTTTGTCCCTCATATAAATCTGCCAGACACACTCCATTGACCATGGAGAGCACTATTTCAATATGGTTTCTTAGGCCATTGCTGCAGGCCACGTCTCCATCATCCTTATTTGTGTTGACAGAGCCAAACGCTTGATGACTCCTCCACCTCAAACCTAAAAAAGATAATTAACTACCTGTTGGGATGCTCTCTCATCTTCGCTAACTTTTTGACTTGCTTTCAAGACTTTATGGATAGTTCCAGACCAATGCCATGCTTGCTAAGCAGTAACTTACTAAGCATCATTGGTGGTTTGCTGGTATAAACACAGCTTTGAGCTTTCTGTAGTCTACCTGGAAGTAGGCTGTTCCCCTGTTCGGTCTGTGTCTCCTTCTGCTGAGTTAGGCAGTTACTCATTATCTTCAGTACTTATTACACAAGATCCTGTTTCAACTGGGTTTCTACAAAAAAGATAAGAAAATTATACTGATCTTTATACTTAGGGCCAGAGATCTGCAAATAAATGAAGAAACTAATAGGATAAAAGGGAGGAGATGCTCCATAACTGAAAAGAGTATATGAATGTGAAAAGAGGTGTCCTTCTTGAGTCAGGCGAGCAGGAGATACCTGGATTAGAAACTGAAAGGAAGATGATGAAACACCCAGAAGCCATTTGTATAATCATCAAATATTCAGTGTGGTTAAGCTGGTGTATAATCTGCAAATACACAGAGTGGTCATGCTAGTATCTACAGAGTGTATAGCTAGAAAGATTATCACAGTGGAAAGAGATAATTGAAAATCAATGAAAATGCTCACCCACATCCTGGGCTTTCAGGAAAAGCCCAAAGGGAACAATCTCCAAGAGGAGATCCTTCTTTGGTGGCAGGTAGCCCTTAAATGGGGTCTAGGAGAGGTGGAGCCAGATTCCACTCCTTCCAGTCACACAGGTGAACTGCCCTCACCTGTGCTTCCACAGCTGACCTATTGCTTGCCTCAGGTGATCAATCAGAGATTCAGGCTGTGATTCAATATTTCCCATACACCGTGGAAAGAGAAGTGAAAAAGTTGTTGTGTATTCTTGATACAAATCTTGATACCCAAAGGGGATGTCTCAGTTTTGGAGTATTTATCTTGAGGGGCCCTGAGTCTGGCTTTTGTGAGAAAATGCTACATATCCATGATTTTGTGGCAGACCCAGTGCTGAGCACTTCAAAACCAATGAAAAAGCTCTAAAAGGAATTAATATGGTTATCCAAAATGCTGAACCACATTCAGTGGTCCATAAGATACTCCAGGAACTGTTTGGCTTGCTGAAGCTGAACTGCATGCCACAGATTGATGGGTACCTATCAAAGCCAGGCTCCAGGAAGCAATACCCTTCCAGATTCTGTACTAGGATGAAAGTCCAGAACCGGGTGTCTTGCTGTGCTAGAACTGGCAGCAAGTTCTCCCACAGACCTAGGAAGATCATTCTGTGCACCTCATGATTACTGACTGCTATGTCCTGGGGGAGGATGTAGTTCATCCTTAACTTTTGAACCGAACCTCTCCAGGTGAGCCTGGGTATGTGAACATAGCCAATAGCTCAGAGAGCAGCTTAGTGGTACCTTTAGCTGGCAATATTCTTGGGGTGCTGGCTCCAGATGTAGCTGCCAAATCACTCTGCAGAGAAAGTTATGATATTGCTGTGTTGCTTTCTAGAGAGTATAACCTTGTCTCCTTCTTTGGCAGCTCTGGCTCTCCAGCAAGTTGTGTATTATTGCAAGATGCAATCCTATCAAGATGGTTCATAGAGGCTGAGCAGTGACAGCTGGCACAGCCTCTTAGTACAGAAGCGAGGGGCATGGCTGCACAGGCAGTACCACCTTGAGAAGTTAGGGAACAAACAGTGCTAAAAAGGATTTAGTTGCATGTTGCAAAACTTACAGAATTGATACTGAGCATGAGGGATGACCCAAGTACTCATAGGGAAACAAAATGACTTCACTTCCTAAGGGCTTTCAGAAGCAAACATTGGGTGCATGCTCTAAGGTGGACTGTGGCAGCAGCCAAGAAGAGCAGGAAGACATGGCTGGATACCATGTGCAGGCAGAGCTATCTGCAACACTGCTAGCTCAAGTACTGTGAGGATCAAAGCTGCGGCTGTGTGGGCCAGCAAATCATACTGAAGACTGTTGAGGAACTCCACGCTGTCTTCTGTGCTACTGAAGCTCACAGTTCAAACCTCGTGCAGGTTCATAGCAATTACTGCAACATAGGCATGTCCTGTATCCTCCTATAAAACCCAGGAGTTTGTCCATCCCTCCCAGAAGCTGTTTTTTAAATTATTTCCTAGTTGTCAACCATGTGAATGAATAAATCACGATACTAATTCAAACATGGGAACAAATTATTTATTGTAACAACTGAAAAAGGAGTGTCAGCAAGAACCATTTTTCTATTATAATGGTAAATATATTCTTTAAAGATATATTCTTCAGAAACATATTTTTCATCTTGCCATGCAATATGTGTAATATGAAAGAAAAATATGCTTCTTTCTGTGTCAGACTCTCCATACAAATGAAAAAATACACTTCCTTTTGCAGCAGCCATCTTCAGTGCTACTGAGTGAGAAAGGAAAATGGATTAAGCAACATTTAGATTATATTCACCTCCCTCCTAAGAATAGAGACAAACAAGACAGCCACCATGATCTGGTCAGAAAGTCCAAGGCCTTAATTAACTGAGTATTAGCAGCTAGTTAGTAGGAGGAGTAAAGAGAGAAATATTTTGCTTCTATATCCATGCTGCTAAGATAGTATAGGCTATATGCATATGGTTTGCAGCCAGCAAAGGCATTGGATACAAGGATGATAAAAGCCTGTTTTTCAGGTTTGTTTTGTTTTTTAAATTATTATTAATACTTAGCACCAACAAAGGGCTTTCAAGGAAAAAATAGACTTCTGTCCTGGGAAGGATGGAGGCAACCTTACTTATTAGCTCAATTTTCAGAAGGACAAAGTGAACCGTTGTGAGTTTCTGCTCAGTTTCAAATGCCAATTGTGGCACGAATCAACCAAGCTCGTAGTCCCCTGTATCGCTCCCTCTCCCGCGTGAGTATGATTGCACGCACGCGGCGCGGAAGGCAGAACCGCCGCTCGCTGCTGAGCACGGCGGCGCCAGCACCAGGACCGGGGCAGAAGGAGGGGCCGCCGGGCGAGCCGCCGGGCAGGCGCAGAGCGGGAGTGGCGCAACAGGCGGGGCGGTGGGCGGTTCGGCGGCGGCGTGCGGATGACGGGTGGTGCTGCCCGCTGAAGGAGAAGTGGGGGTGCAGGCAGGGCGGCGGCATGAGGGCGGAGGAGCCCCTGGCGCTGGCGGCCCCGCAGGTGGTCGGTGGCGAGGCAGAGGCGACGAGCGAGGAGCAGGGCGGCAGCGGCTGCTGCAGCAGCGAGCGGCTAGTGATCAACATCTCTGGGCTGCGCTTCGAGACGCAGCTGCGGACCCTCTCCATCTTCCCCGATACGCTGCTGGGCGACCCAAGCCGCCGGGTGCACTACTTCGACCCTCTCCGCAACGAGTACTTCTTCGATCGCAACCGACCTAGCTTCGATGCCATCCTTTACTACTACCAGTCTGGAGGGCGGCTTCGGCGGCCAGTCCATGTGCCCCTCGACATCTTTCTGGAGGAGATCCGTTTCTACCAGCTGGGCCAGGAGGCCATTGAGACCTTCCGGGAGGATGAGGGTTTCATTCAGGAGGAGGAGAAGCCCCTGCCTGAGCACCACTTCCAGCGCCAAGTCTGGCTGCTCTTTGAGTACCCTGAGAGCTCTGGACCAGCCCGTGCCATTGCCATTGTCTCTGTGCTGGTGATCCTCATCTCCATTGTCATCTTCTGCCTAGAGACTCTGCCTGAGTTTCGCCAGGAGCTCAAGGTTACTCAGCCTGGTTTTGGGGAGCTGGCTGTACTCGATGATGACATACTGCTGCCACCACCGCCACCAAGCGGGAGCCCACAGTCTCCACAGTCCACTGCTGGTGCTGGCCTTTTCTTCACTGACCCTTTTTTCCTCATTGAGACATTGTGTATCATCTGGTTCTCCTTTGAGCTTCTTGTGCGTTTCTTCACTTGCCCCAGCAAGCCTGACTTCTCTCGCAACATAATGAATATCATTGACATCGTGGCAATCATCCCCTACTTCATCACCCTGGGCACGGAGCTAGCACAGCAACCACAGCAGAAGCAGCAGTCTGGGAGTAGCAGCAACAACGGGGGCCAGCAGCAAGCTATGTCCTTGGCAATCCTCAGAGTCATCCGACTGGTCAGGGTCTTCAGGATCTTCAAGCTCTCCAGGCACTCCAAAGGGCTACAGATCTTGGGGAAGACTCTCCAGGCCAGCATGAGGGAGCTAGGCCTCCTCATCTTCTTCCTCTTTATTGGTGTGATCCTCTTTTCTAGTGCCGTATACTTTGCAGAGACCGATGACCCTGACTCGTTGTTCACCAGCATTCCTGATGCTTTTTGGTGGGCAGTGGTGTCCATGACCACTGTGGGCTATGGGGACATGTATCCCATGACAATTGGTGGCAAGATTGTGGGTTCCTTGTGTGCCATTGCGGGTGTGCTCACCATTGCTCTGCCTGTGCCTGTCATTGTGTCCAACTTCAACTACTTTTACCATCGAGAGACTGATAATGAAGAGCAGTGCCAGTACACCCATGTTACCTGTGGCCAGCAGCAGTCACCCTTCTCTGAGCCCAAGAAGGGGGACAGTAATCAGTCTATCAGCAAATCTGAATTTTTGGAAGTGGAAGACCTGGAGTCCATGAAATATTCCAATTTCATCCCCCCTGGTAATCAGGGTTATAAAGAGAAGAAAATGCTGACAGAAGTGTGATCAGTTTTGTTATCCTGGATCCAGGCACAGAGCCGCAAGCTGCTGCACAGCTGTCTTCCCACTAGCAGTTGGATCTATTCAGCATTTACATACCATACTGTGGATTGTGATACCGTAAACGGAGTCGTCGTGATAATGGGCTCTTCTGTCCTGATATGCTGTTTCTTGTTGCTGTGTGCAGTCAAAAACGTTCTTGCTTTGTTCTGTGGAGTGCTAGCTGTCATTCCCTGCTCCCTCATGGATGTCTTCCTGCTCCCTCGTGGACGTCTTTTTTATTTATTTATTTATTTTTATTTGAAGAAAACTGTAATCCAATTTTAGCTTAGAAGCCTAATCTTTCTACTCCATTAGCAAAGAAGTCCTTGCAACAACTTCAGCTGAAGGATTCTGCAGGGAGTAAGTAGTTAAAGGGGCTATGAACATCTGGCTCTAGCTGTACCCTTGGTTCCTGTGCCAGCTTGGTGCCCTTGGCTGCGGGATCAGTCACGCCTGCAATGCCATTGCCTTTGAATAATGGAAATGCTTTAGCTAGCCTCACAGTGAGTTCTGCAGCTGTAGGGAAAAGTCAGCAAACAGATGCCTTTCTTGTTTGCAACACTTGGCTTGAAGAAGATCCTCTTGTTTTATGTTTCTAAAAAGTTGCATAAATATAAAAGCACTTGCTACTTCATATATGCATTTATCATAAGTGGGCATAAATAATTTGACAGTCTTGTTGAAGATTCTCTGTGTTTTGATCTTATTTAAGTCTTACTTGTGCCAGTATCTTGATGTTACTTGGCTTTTATAATACCAAGTTAACTTTTGTAATGGTGCCTTCTCACTTTTGAGAAAATTGATTTGTTATCTCCCCAGTTTATTTCCACAAGTGTTTAGTGAGATGTACTTTACGCTTAAGCTACTCAGTTCTGTATTCAGTGAACACAGTTGACTCCACTGCGTTTTTGTTGAAGTGTTTCTGTAGCTGAGGAAAGTTTGCATGCTGGTATTATGTTGATATTGCCAAAAAACACATCTATCTGCGCTGTCTAAAAATTCCTCTGATATTGTGGGTCACAGTCATAAATTACCCCTGGGTAAATGTATTGGCAGTAGAGGCTGGCCCTTACACCAGCTTCCTTAAGACATCTGCACAAACTCAATAGCATACCCCAGAACTTTAAAATGAGAGGAAAAAGAGGTAACCTTGAAATGGTATTTTTTCTTTATTAGTGATTCAGCCAGTTCTGAGTATTTCTTAAATTGAAGGCACAGAAATGATTTTTTCATGCACTAGATTTTATAAGCACAACTTACAGTAGCAATGCAAAATACATTCCTTAGCCTGCATTGCTGGGCTTGTCAAGGGACCAGATAATTTCATTTTAAGATGCATGTTTTTCTTCACAGATCACATTTATCTCTGCCAATTCCCAATTTTAAAATGTTTCAAATGCTGCTAGTTGATGAAAAGAGGTAACAAATACTTTTAGATTCTATTGGTAAATTTTCATGCAAATACATGTATTGTTTTTGTTTTTAAATGTGAATGTATATTCTGCATTCATATGTGTGCATGTGTATGAAAGCAAAGGCAGGCAAAATCATAGTATCATAGAACTATAGAATGGCTTAGGTTGGAGGGACTTTAAGATAATCTAATTCCAACACCCATGCCATGGTCAGGGTTGCCAGCCACTGGGTCAGACTGCCCAGTATCCCATTCAACCTGCTTTGAAATCCTGTAGAGATGGAGCATCCACAACTTCTCTGGGCAACAGTGCCTCACTACCCTCCGAGTAAAGAATTTTTTCCTAACACCTAACTTAAATCTTCCCCCTCTTTTAATTGAAAGCCCTTCCTTTGTATTCTGTCACTATTAGACCATATGAAAATCAGTCTCCCTTCTGCTTCTAGCCTCCCCTCCAGGCCATGATGAGGTTTTCTCTTGGACTTTTCCAAGCTAGACAAGCCCAGCTCCCTCAATTTTTTCTTTGTGATAGACATGCTCCAGCCCCTTGATCATCTTCATGACCCTCCTCTAGATTTGCTCCTGTAGCTCCTCAACTTTCTTGTGCTGGGAGTCCCAAGCCAGATACAGAACTCCAGATGAGGCTTCACAAGCGCAGAGTTAAGGGTACAATCACCTCCTTTGCCCTGCTGGCCATCCCTCTTTTGATGCAGATCATGTTGGCTTTCTGGGCTGCAAGCACACATAGCTTGCTCATGTCTAGCTTGTTGTCCACCAGGATCCCTAAATCCTTCTCCACAGGGCTGCTCTCAGGGAATTCCTCTCCCATTGTGTATGTATACATCTGGGATTATCCTGATCCAAGTGCAGAGTGTCGCACCTGGCCTTACTGAATCTCATTATTGCTTGTTTGCCCAATTTTCAAGTCTATTCAAGTCCCTCTGGATGGCATCCCTTCCTTATGTCATATCAACTGCACCACTCAGCTTGGTGTCATCGGCAAACTTGCTAAGGGTACACTCGATCCCATTGTCTGTGTCACTGATTAAGATGTTAAAGAGCACTGGCCTCAAGACAGGCCCCTGTGGGATACCACTCATCACTGGCCTCTATCTGGACATAGATCCATCGACCACAACCCTGTGACCCAGCCAATTCTTTGTCCACTGAGTACTCCACAAAACAGATGTAATTACAAGGTGCGAAATATATAGAATATGTTTTATATATATGTATATGTCATACTTTTCAAACATAAGGCTGAGATTGCTAAGGACATGTCCTTTAATATTGTCTGAGCTGGCAGGGTTGTGAGATGGGATCTGTTTACATCTTTGTTACCCTGCTTATTTTCCATTGTCCTGAGACTTGGCTCCATGCCTAGAGTGCTTTTATTGTATCTCTCCTCATCTGGGTCATGATCATATGGTAGAAGTTGTTTGTGTAAGTCCTAAATGCTGCACATCTCCAGAGACCCACTGTCTTCTCAAAGATTTCTAATGTACAAGGAACTCGCCTTAGGTCAGTGCACAGACACTGCACTGATTCCTCTGTTCTCTCTCACTGGTCAGCAGCAAAAAGTCATTTGTTACTGCAGATCAGTCTGGGAGACCACATATGGTGTCGTATGGTGATGGCTCTGTAGGTGAGAGGAGCTTGCCTGAATAAAGAAAGCAGAATGTGACTTTCCAGGCTACCTCCACAGATATCTGTGTCTAGAGCTTTTTTGGTACATTGGAACTGAGGCAAATTTATCTGAATTTCTGGGCTTTGGGTTTCATTCTGCATCTCTCGAAGCATGTAACTTGTGGGTCAGTAATACTGGATCCCACTGCAACAAAATCTCTGTTGATTTTGTGTAAAAAGATGTCTTGGTCTCTGAATTAATTCTGCAAAATGCTGTTGTTATTCTTAGTTGTGTATCAGATTAAGTACAGTGAAATATTCTTCTGAATGAAAGGTATTGGCTTTCAGTTTTATGTTGTCCTTGCAAGTGCACTAAGCTAGCAGAAGAACCTGCTATTTAAGAAGGATGTGTCGAGGCTGTTGCTGTCTCCTAGTAGAATGCCCATCTTTGGGATTATTTTATGCAGAAGTGTATCAGCTGATACAAGTTCCCCAAAGTAAGATATAAAAAGCTCAGGTTAAGCACGAGTTCAGGAGAAGGCACGAGCTATGCTCTGCTTGCGTCAGAAAATTCCTTGTGCTGGTTTCTTCTCTTTGGCCCAACCCCTCTGCCCCTGCCAGGCAGGAGCTGTACCTCTCAAGAATAGGTCGTTCTTCCAGCCAGCGTGGTACGTGGCTGGGCATGCAGACTCCAACAACAACAAAAAAAAAGACGTGAGAGATATAACCAGTAACATAAACTCTAGCATGTCTTGTAGAGATGTTCTGGTAATAAGAGCTTCTGCTATCAAATGAAATTCAGCTGTCGGTTTCTAAGCATATAGATGTACACATGCAAAAGAACAAACAGACCACTTTATGTGCAGTTTTTTGCACTCCATATTTTTCAATTCTGGAAACAATGTGGAAATGAAAATGTGTAAAACAGGAATGTTGTTTTGTCCCTGGATTTTCTGTGTTAGATCTAAAAGAAATACAAAAAGTTAGCAAGTTTGGAAAGTGTAACCTGGGAGTTTTATTTAAATGTGCAAATCTGTTTTTAAGCATCTCCTAAAAAAAAAAAAAAAAAAAAAACAAAACAAAAAACAGGATAGTCATGCAGTGTTATCAGCAACTTCTGCATGCCAGCACTTCTGGCATTCAGCATTTTTATTAAGCAGCCTTCAGAATTTTTGCAATTGACTTAAGTGACATTGTGCCTTTATAGAGCACTTAAGTTTCCAGCTGTTAGCAGTCACCTCTGGATGCTTGAAATACAAATCTGTCTTTCTCTTTAGCTATTTTCTTCTTAAGGCAGCCCACATCTTTTGAAGCAAAGTAGCATCTCCAAGAATTCATGACAATCTCACAGACTGTTTCTCTACCGTGTGGCTTTGGCTACAAGCAAAAGCACTGTTGAATATGTTCAGTCCTCAGTTATTAGCAGGCCACCTTTGCAGCCATTTTCTTTGGTTAGTGAAGATCGCATCATATTATATTGTGTATAGCTGCCCTGTTAAACTCCAGACTGACAGACTGTTAACAGTGTTTGAAAACAGGCAGTTCAAACAAGGAAACAGGAAGGGACTTTATATCCTTGCACGTGGAGAGATGAAGAGTGTGTGAAAGACATGCTTAGGGACAAGGGGGCCAACTGGTCAATGAGTGCTCAGTAACGAGGAATACAAGGAAGAATGTTGCTTTAAAAAACACAGAATCCTTTTTTTAACAATCTCACTAGGAAATAAAGTTTTGCTATGGACAAGACTACCACTTTTTTCCTGAATCTTTGGCCATTCTGTGACAATCAGTTATAAAGAAAATTTTCCACAGGATATTTTGCACCAAATCAGATCAGGGGAGAAATCAATGAGGGAAGGAAAAGAAGAATTTTACTGTGCATGCCTTTTTTATTCACTGCTTATCAACCATCTGGTGGACTGTAAGTTTAAAAGGCATGAAAAGTTGTTTTGCAGTATTTCAGAGTATTACTGAAGGATTCCTGAAGTTTTCTACAAGATGAAAGTTCTGTTCCTGTTTGGAAAATGTTGCACATTATGTTCCTTGAGCAATTTTCTGTTTTGGCCCTGTTCGTTCTGATCCAGCTTATACAGATAAAAGTCACTGCTACAGCAGCTGGAAGGATGAAGGTGACAGGACTAAGTGTTCTCTACTAGCCCCACTCATTTGATGCATGGAGATCCCTGCAGAGATAAAGAAGAATGAGTATAAAGAAAATTCAAGGGAGCAAAAAGCAGGGTAAGGGCTGACGCGTCTTTCATACTATGATGAAAAGAACAGGATCGTCCCTAAAAGCAGAAGAACTAACAGCTCCAGCTTCTGCTGTTGTAGCAGAGGTAGGTAAGGTTTCTTTTTCATCTGTGAAATTAACAACTATGAATTTCTTGCAATTAATGAGGGATTTCCTAATTAAAATTTACAGCCTAAATGGAGAATCTGATTCTAGCTAAAGAAAAGAGAGAAAGATAACTATAAACTATAAAAACGCATTATGAGCCAGATCCTCACCATCTTCTGATACAAGTTGGCAAAACTCCATTTAACACAACTACCTTCATTTAAATTGAATCTTCTGCATACAAAACATATGTACTGTCTGTTAAAGTGCTTACCTTTGTTTTTTCTTCTCTTGAGGTACTGCTTACATCAGGGAATGCAGATTACAGCAGGAGTTAACCTCAGCTTTCCTGAAAACTCTCATCTGACTTAAATCCAAGTAAGTCTACTGAGCTCAGAAAAGTTAGGCTTCTCTTTAAGTTTATATTGGCAAAAACAAAAGCAGAAGCATTTCTAAATGTGGTGATGAAAGTATGCAGCCTATGGACAAGTTAAAGACTAAATGGGATTCTGCACTCAGCTGCAGACATGTAAGCGCAAGATAGCTCTATTTACATTGTAGTAACTGAGGTCTGATCTCTTCATCTCTGCTTTTTGGAGGTTACACTCCAGACAAATCACATTCTGAGTATGTTTGTAGCCATATTATCAGCATGCTTACAGTGTAATTCCCAATTTGCTGCTATCTGCTTTACATGTAAAGTTAAGAAGAGCAGGTGTCTACAGGATCAGAAGCCTTAATCCTCTGATAAAATGAAAAATTGTCAATAAAAGTGGTATGTCCTTAGTTGCCTAAGGAATAGTTGGTAATGAAACTGCTTGTTAATTACAGTAAGGAGTTCAGTGATATAGACATTAGGTCCTAAGTAAGGCAAGACTCTGGTCAGGGAGGCAAATTCAGGAGAATGTTTGTAGGGTGAAAGTAGGCAAGGGATTACAGTAAAATTGATTTTCCATTGTGGCTTATGTTGTTAGTACACATGTCAATTCTGTATGCTTTGCCTAACTAGTTAAGTTTTTGCTTGCTCCTGAGAACTCTGCTCAGGGTTTGCTGGATGTCACAAGAACTTGAATATTACGGCATGGTTTTATACTGTACTCATAACTGGGATGAGTGTGAGTTTTACTTCACTGATAAACATTCTCTGTAGGAAATATCCATGTTGTCTGTACTGCACATTTACAGGTTGAACTTTCCAGTGTCCAACTTTTCCTTAATGAAAGAAAGGAAAAGATTTGCAAGAGGGAGATTTTATGGAAAGTACTCATCAACTTTTGTGGTCACTCTAAAATACTGAAGCTGTGTTGCCTCAGAGGCAAGACTCGTGAGAAATTTTGCCTTCATACAAAATATCACTGGAAGTTCAGTAAATCTGTCTTTGGATTCACTTACACTAAATGGATATAAAAATATTTATTGTAAAGCTTTGAAAGACAATTTGTTGAAAAGTAAATAACTGTATATATATAAATAAAATGTAATAAATCCTAAGGTATTTCACTGGGCTTGTAGCCCTATCTTTAGGTGTTGTAGGTTCATTTACCTAAAGAGTTGTACATGATTTTACACCAACATAAGATTTAACTTTTGGAGCACATATTGTTTTATCCTCTTGCATTCTCTGGAGAGAAATGAAATGTTCTTATGTTCTTTGACCAAAAAAAAAAAAAAAAAAAAAAAAAGAAGTGGAACATTACTGTCTCCTTTTGCTGCTTGCTGATGCATATGTTGTTTTCAATTAGATTGATGGCATCCATTTTCAGAAAGCAGATGCTGCCCTCTTTTGCATTGGTGCAATTCTGGAAAAGAACCTCGTCAGTGAAGTAACTCCAAACTTATCTCCGATGAAAGCAAAATTGGACCACAGTCTCATCATTTGCTTATATGCCTTGGTGCTCTAGGAAGGTGCACTACTACCATACCGTAAGTTGAGCCTGTATGCTGTGCCACACTCAGCTTTTTTGTGCCCTTAACAGTTATGAGCCTGGCAGAAGTCAGGCTGGTGAGCAGTTTTTGGGGTCACTAGATTGCTCATATCAAGTAGAGCAGATTCCATTTCTAGATCCTTGCCTTCTTTCCTATCCCAATTTCTGTCAGTTTCCTCTTGCTTTGATATGATCTGTCTCTAAGGAGACAGATTTTTTATGGTAAGAAGTTATACTTGCAGTTCTTAAATAATACAATGACAGAAGGGTAGCAGCAGTAGGCATGGAGACAATTTCTACTCCTCCTACAGATTTTTACTGTTATGGCCATCTGTAAAAACTGTCACAGTCCTGTCAGGTTGGCTGTAGATCTGCTGACTCTAGGGTCTCCATTTTCAGAATATACTAAGTTTAAACAAATCAGATCACTTATTTCTTGCTCCAATACTTCTGATTTTAATGATGCCTCCCCTGAAAAAGCTTTACATAAAAGCCATTAGTGTATGCTGTGTGGAAAATTACTACTTAAGATAGGATAGATGAGGATCAATAGAGGAAATACAGAGTCAGTAAAAAGCACAGTAAATAATCATTGTGAGAAAGGAAAGAGGTTCTTAAAGGAGTTGTTTAAGGGTTATTCTCTAGATTGTTTAAAGTATTTGCAGTAGGACTAAGATAAAATTTAGCAGTGATGTAACCTAAGTGTCACTGTGTGTGTGAACGTGAATGATGGACTTAAAGAAACTGGAAGATACTAAATAGCACAGCAATTAAAATAGGGATTTTGATAGCAAGCATATCACTTAGACAAAGATTGGGAGTGGTAAGAACAGTCAGAGTACCAGTGTCAATTAGAGTCACAAGAGTGATGAAGTCATAAGCTTCAGATACAACTCTTGAAATTGTCAGAAGAACTTCTGCTACCACCTGGGAAGTGTTAATTCTTTAAGGCCTTGTCTGGAGTGTTTTGTGCCTTTGTGGTGACCTAAATTTAGTGAATTTTAACTCAGAGTGGGAAGGAAGCATGGGAATGGCAGCCAGAATTATCAGGTGGATCAACACAACTTCACAAGAGAAACTTGGAAAAAACTGTCTTTTCTAGACCGGCAAAAGATTGGCAAGACCTGTAGTTACAAAATTACAAGGGATTTTATTTATTTTTATTTAAGTGGTGTTGGTGAACAATAGAGCAAAAACTGACAATGAATAAATTTATATTGGAAAGCAGTGAGTTCCAGTATAACAGATAAGAGGAAATGAAAACTTGTTTTGGGAGAAAAGCAAATGTTTTTTTTCAAATGAACTTTGGCAAATTTGTGGAAGCATTCTTATATAGAAGTAGTTACATACAATGTTGAACCTAATTGTATTTCAGGTGCCAAATATATAAGCAATTGTATCTTACTGCCTGTATCTTCTGAAAAAAAATACAGCTTAGATGACATTATATTTTTTAGCTGCAAGATGCCCAACCCTATTGACCCTTTTTAGTACTTGGGCAGTTTGGTGTATGGGCAGGAAGAATTGTGGGAGGAACACGAGTCTTTGGAGATGGCTGTTTCTCTGTGGAAATGAGGGAAGAGAAAGAAGTGCAAGTAGTAGGTTAGGATGGAGCAGGCAGTACCTGAGTGGTCTATGTAATAGTTTGGAGACAGAGGAAAGGCCGGTCCCTTAAGCTTTTATTACTTTTTGCACTTTGAAAGCACAACGATCTCTGTCCATTGCCTTTCCCTTCAACCTGGAACCTCTGCTGACTGTTTCTGGTCCTTTCTCCCTGTACAGAACTTTCAAGGTCTTCACTAATCTTTCTTCCTTCTAGGGTTTCTGGTAATTCCTTGTTATTATTAACTCCCTGGAGTAATTTCAGTAGCACATAATTTTGAGAAAAGCCTTGAGCAAGCTCTGCTGCAGCTCAGCTCGGGTTTCTAATTTGGATGCAGAAATCAACAGTGACAAATAACCTTCACTGAACTGAAGGTCAGCTAAGTTGATAACAGTGGCCTACAAGAGGTTATCAGAATAATCCTCTATTAAAAAGCACTGTTCTGGCAGAGACAAAGCCATGGTTTCATGTTTCTTCTTTCACCTCTTTGAGTTCATCTCATTCTGTGGCAATATGACTGAGACTTTGAGTTCAGGGGATAGAACAATGATTGACCAAGGTGGGATCTTCACCCATCCATTCAGCTCTGTGTCACAAAAGCACATAGGAAAACCTAGTCATGTTTTGTCCATGAGTCTTCTAATTTGTTGCTGCTCTGTGCTCACTTATGTGATGAAACCATCACCTTGTGATTTATATCTATATTCTGGCTAGCAAGTTCAGTTGTTTTGTTTTGTTTGTTTTTGTTTTTAACTCTCCTTTTTAATTCCTTAATTAGAAAAAAAAGAAAAGCAAAACAAAATTTTACCAATAACGATGCACATTATGGAAGCATGTGAATACGAACACCAAACTTTATCAATGACATTGTCAGTATGGTACATACAAATCTGGTTGTGTGTAAGTTATTCTAAGAGCTTGTCATCATTTCTTGAGCTACAACAGTATAAAAAAGGGAAAAACAAATTATCTTATGACATTTACAGATGATCCAACAAGTTTAATTTGGACCATAAACAGCGTTGCATCTGTTTCTGAGCTCAATTGATTTTGACATTGATAGAAGAAGACACAATTAGTATATGCTTATGTGCATCTTAATTACAGCTGTTACATTATATGCAGTGCAGTTGTGTATGCCTTAGTCTTGAAGCATGAAACATATTAATGCTAATGATCCTACAGTAGTAATCACTATCAGCAAAAAGATGATCAAAGTGCTTATGTGATAAAAATCATATATGCCATCTCAGAGCTCAAAGAACTTTCCATTGGTGAGAAAGTGTTATTACAGTTGATTTTACAATGATGATAGAATAAAGCACAATTAGCTATGAAGAGTGGTAAGAAAACAAAAGTCTAAATGAGCAGAACACATGAGTCGTTTGTGCTGCAGAACAATTTCTGTCTATTCTTGGCCATAGTAACCGTGGTTGAAGGTGTTGATATCACAAAGTACAGGTAAATAGCACCAGAACAAATCCGACAAGTAAATTATGTTGATCTATGAGGATATGGAAGACACATTGTATACTTCTCAAGATCTGAAATATGCTGTAATTGTAATGTATCAGGAATAATATTGTCAGATACAATCCTTTTAGTGCTGTAGACTAGGGGTTTTCATGCTTATTAAATGATACCCACAAAACAACTGATCTTTGTAGTTGTCCTTGGAGATGACACGAGTTTCAAAAACACTCTTGAAGGTGTTCAGTACTGCTTATTCATTTGTCTAGTACCTGATGATCTATTAGTTTTCTACAGCACACTGCAAATATTTTTGTAAGTCATATTTCCATCAAAAAAGGCCTCTTCAAAATCTGCCATGTCTGTGAGAATATTCTGATTTCAGTTGTTTGATATTCTTTAGAAAATGAATTATTTAAAAATTTTGCAATATATCTTATTATTTTTATAATGTTCTGCATTTTTTTAGTTTTTAACAGCATGTATGTAAACAAGGTTGAATGCACTCTTGCAATTATATCTTTTGTACTTTGATCTGTAATGAGAGATACAATTATTATTGATATTATTTGTAAACTAACCTTTTTTTCAAGACAATACAGTGTAGCCACTGGCTTTCCGATTGTTAGCAGTGTGGCTCCAATGTCAGCTCAAAGACTTCTGTGCGTTCAGTTAGGAGCTATTCAGATACTCCAAACCAGATGAAGTGACAGGTCAAATAGCATGGATACTAGACCACATTGCGAACTAGAAGGGGAGAGATATAGATATGAAATAATGAGGAAATTTTTTACTTGGAAGCTGGTGAGGCACTGGAACAGGTTGTGCAGAGAAGCTGTGGATGCTCTATCCCTGGAGATGTTAAAAGGCCAGGCTGAATGGGGCCCTAGGCAGTGTGAACTAGTGGATGGGAACACTGTCCATATTGGAGGGGCTGCAACTAGATGACTGTAGGGTCCCTTCCAACCCAAGTTATTCTATAATTGTACGCATTAGGAATGATAGAAGGGATGTTCCAGTGCTTTGGCTGTCACAGAGCCAATTGTTCTTTTCTCCAAGTGGAAAATATGCACACATAAAAAAAGTTGTTTAATGAGTCCAAACTGCTTGTGCAATGCAGTGTGACTTGCTGGACCCCATGACTGTGAATTCTGAGCAATTCCTGTTTCCACTTAGCATATTATCTTTTAGAACTTAAAAGAAAAGAAAAAAGAAATAAGAAGATTATAGTCCTGATAATTTCCTGTCTGCAGTGAGAGGAAGAATGGTAGTAGAAGGTGCTATCTGGAATGTGTTCTAGCTCACCTTATTATTTACTTTTTTCTCTGGCTCTTAAAAAAAAAAAACACTGAGCAGGTTTGTGAACTCTCAATGTCAATTAGCTAAGTGAATTTCAGAGAAGATGAGTACTGAGCTCTTCTTTGCTTAATAATCTTTCTCAGTATTTCCACAGAAGATGTCTTAATACAAATCATTCAAGCCAGCTTCAGATGTGACATAGCTGTAATGGGAGTTGGAGGCAGATGCAGCTTTTTTACAGAGCCAATGCCATTCTAAGCAAAGGACCCAAGAAACTGGGAGGGAACAGAAATAGGATCTCCATCTTAAAATGGTCAAAGGGGTATTCTTTATACATACAACATCATACAGAAGGAGTATTGAAGCAGTTGGGAGTTCATGTGGCTCTCTTCTGCTGCTCAGGAAGGGCTCTGAGTCAGTGGGTGATGAGCAATTGCTTGTGCATCACTTCTTATAGATACATTCATATATATATATAACTATTTACATAGTTATAGGGAAAGGTAATGGCTGACAACCAGTTCTAAATTACCAAAAAAAAATGATGATGGTCACAACCCAGTTAAAGAAAGAAATATTTGCTTACCCATTCCAAGGATCAAGGCTCACCACATAATCCAAAAGGAGGGATCTCCAGTAGAGATCTTTCCCTTGTGGCTGCCAGCCCTTAAATGAGACTTAGAGAGCAATGAGACTTCTGGTTGCACAGGTGAATTGCTTTCACCTGTGTTCCCAGGGCTGGCTGTGTCCCTTCACTAAGTGCTCATTCATTTGTTCAGGCCATGACTTTACAATTCCCTTACAAATTTAAGTATATATAAATGCTTTCACATGCATAAGATACATATATAAGCAGAGATCATATAGAGACACAGATATGCAAAATGTTAGAAGTGAGAATCTGTAAAATGTATTTACTTCCAAAAAAACTTTTTAGGAAATATCTAGTTCAACTGTTAACAATGTACATTAATCCACCAACTTGCCTGCTTGCTTTGGGTTCACCTAAATTGTGAGAAATCTCTGATGTGCAGACTAAATCTTTGCCAATCTTCAGAACAGAATATTGTCACTGATCTTTTTTTCATGTAAGCTTTCTCCTACAGATTTATATGTTGAAGAGGAAAGCTTTCAATCCAGGGATTACAATCAGCGAGTAAGCCAGTAGAGATAGGAAGGCTGGCTTATGGTTTTCCAAAAAATCATAGCAAATACTGATTTCTTGAAGTTTGGTAAGTCAGAGAATCTGTAAATTAGACAATTTACAGTAAGAGACAGATATCTGCAAGAGCTGTGTTAAGTGAAACTATGACAAGTTGTTGTATTTTATTGTGTGGCGTATAATCACAACCAGGTTTACTGGTTTGATTCTGCTCTTAGTTTAATATTGTTGGATTTGATTGGGATATGGCTTACAATGCAGATGTTCCACTGAAAGAATGGAGAGGAAATACAGAGGACACATTCAATTTCTGAGATTTTGGATCTCATTTTTTTTCCACTGAGTACATTACTAATTTAACAAATGTTTAGAAATTGTAAAATATAGTCATAGAATCATAATACAATTACAGAATCATTGATTTGGAAGGGACCCTTAAAGGCCACCTGATCCAACCCCCCTGCAATGAATAGCGAAACCTACAGCTCGATCAGGTGCTTGTCCAGCCTGACTTCGAGTGTCTCCTGGGATGGGGCATCTAGCACCTCTTTGGGCAACCTGTGCCAAACCTGTTAGTGTGAACTGCTCTGAGCTAAACCCACTGAGAGCAAGTCACGAGGCACTTGGATTCCTACTGCTATCACCATCTGTTTGAAGCAGGCCTTCAGAGCTGCCTCCACAGCCCCAACTCTCCTGTAGAGAAAAAGGGCCTACAAATTTCCTTATAGCAAAAAATCCATGCTCCTCTATGGTTTCTAAATTTATTTACTAAGACCCCTTAATAGCGAACAAGACTCTTTTTGCACTAAATGTATTGCATGGTTAAGGTATGTAACGTCAACTGCCTGTCCAAAGTGAGGATTATGTAAAAACAGTCTCAGTAATGAAAATGAATATATCATAAACAGGTTTTTTGTTTGAGGTTACCATGATACATTTTCTTGAAGTGTTTGAAAATCCAAAAGCACAAGTCTAACTGTTTCTAGATATCCTTTCAACAAATGTTCTATACAAAGCAACTGCATGGATCAAACACTGCAGAATTAAGTAAATGTATGAAAAAATCTCAGAAAGTGTAACTGATAGTCATTCAGCATGGAAAATATTGTGAAAAACTCAAACAATATGGCTATAGGACAGCAAAACTATAATTTTAGATCTTTCAAGTACGCAAGGGCTAATCAGGTGTGTTATGGCAGTGAAGGGACTGACATGAAAACAGAAGGCAGATTCAAGCTTATACCAGTGTTTCAAAGGACTATTTAAATGAAGATTACAGTCTCTCACACCGAGAAGAAAGGCAGATGGACATAAGATAGGTTTCTCTATGCCTGTAATTCTACTAATCTAAAGGTAATAAAATATCTAAAAGGAAAAGAAGCGAGGCAATTATTGAGATACAAGATAAATTAAATACTGAAGTACTCCCTGTTCATCTATTATTTAATCATTACTCAGCTACTATTTACTTATTTTTGAATACTATTTTAATATGAAGTACAAAAAAGACCAATGATTTCCAAAGACACCGGTAACATTAGATAGTCAGTTTTACACTCAAAATGGACTGAATTTCAGAAAGAAGAAAGGTCTTTTATAGGCATCCAGAAAAACAGTTTGCTACATTGTTGCCATTATTTGAAAAGTTGGGCCTCCCAATTTGGGATGAATTCTTTAGAACCTCCAAGAGTCCATGTCAGGTGAAGAATTGTGATGTTCTCTATGTATAACATTTTTGCATCAAGGAAGTAAAAAGCAAGAGAGTTGCAAATTATAATTAATGGTAGAGGACACATTTAAAAACTAAATTTTATGATGTTATATATCTACAGCTACACTGAGTCAGATTGTTCAGGGAGGCAAAGAAGAGAAAGGAGGATCAGAATATTCTTATTTCCAATCACATGTAAAGGCACACGTGAGATGAGAGGCAAATGATTATATTTAGGGACTCATTTCTTTATCACTTATTACTCTTAATCTGTAAGAGTCAGATAACTGATGCCTAAGTTCATAGTAAACAGCTCCTAACTCCTCACTGAGGCTTTCTGAAACCAGTGACATGAAAACGTGGACTATGACATGGAATGGCTCTACTGTGCAATTTTCAGACCCATGCAGATCCCACAGGTTGCTGGTGGGAAAACCCTCAGCAGAAAAGAATAAAGGGACAAAGAGCAGAAAGTCTTGTTCCCTGCTCAAAAGGGCACTCTGGAGCCATCCTTCCTCTTTGACATTGTTAATATCATCTTCCAAAAAACTTCAGAAGCAAAAAGAAACTTTTCTACACTCCTAGACCAGACTTCTCCATTGTCTTGTTTCCAGGGGCTCTCCTACCTGTGTGGGTCCTGTTCACTGCACAGAAATAAGCTGCGCTCACTCTCATGTTTTGAAAGAGCTGTGTGAGAAGCTGAATAGAACTAGTATAGTACCGATTGACTCCTCCCATCTCCTGAGGCATTCAGGACAAAGACTAAAGTTAGTGTGTTGGATAATCCATGAGTCCATCCATGAGAAAGAAACTTAAATCACTGTGACTAATGCCAGAACAAGTGAAAATTGAAGGAAAGCTTGTGCCACTAAAAGCTGGGACTGCTAGTACAATTTTACCTTAACACAGCCTGTTCTCATAGTTTGTCTCTGGGCTTGCAGTGGCCTGGGATGATCATTTAAATTTAAAATGAGCATTACTAAATACCAAACAACAAACACCCCACCTACATTGACCCTACTGCTATAGTGGATGGTGAAAAGGCTCTGTCCCCACAGATTTATGAAGTTGGTATCAGTTGCAATGAAGTTGCAATCAGAAATCTAGGCCAACAACAGATGTTGTTTAATCCATCATAGTCTCC